AAGTGAAACCCTTCCCTATGAATGTTTAATGAACTTAGGGGAATGCCTGACATTGAAGATTCATTTGTTAAACACTGAGATCAGGAAAGAATTCCGAGTAGGCAGACCTGACTTCAGCACACAGCATTGCTTAGATTTACCTCAAAAGGAAAACATTCTGATCACACGTGTGGGCTCTTTCCTTTATACATCTTGTAGAGCAGATGGGTAAACTTTTCTTCTGTTATTGGACCTGCCTGAAGTAGTGGGCTTGCCCTTAGAGGAAACAGAATGGGCCTCCTTGTTCCTTCTCTGTTCCCTAATTGTCACCTTTCAGTGACAGACCACAGAAGGAAGGAGATCCTCCTATCTGTGCTAGAAAAAGTATTACTCTTCTTAGGGCAACATAGTGATGAGGGATATGGAGTGCTTGAGGCAGACTGAACAAGCAGGTTGCAGGATGTGAGATATAAGATAAGATGTAGGATATGAACAACCAGAAAAAAAGTGATCAAAGAAGACTGTGCATTGAAGCCCCCTACAGTGGATTTACCTGTGTGCTTTCACAAAACACCTCCTTACCTGACATTCCACAACAAACCTCTCCCTTCCCCCTCCTGTTCCTTTTGCTTAACATCCTTAAGTGGTCCTCCCCTTCCCCTTTCCATTTCTTCTTGCTTACCTGTATGACAAAGGCACCTTCAGACTACTGATATCCCAGGCATTCCAGTGCCCTGCCTGCCCCTCCTTCCCTTCCCCCTATCCCATCAAGCTGTATACGGACCAGAGACCTAACTCCAGTAATGCCTCAGCCTCCCATTGAGAGCAGGGCCCACTCTGCCTCCCTTAGGAGAGCAGGGCCTGCTGCCTGTGCTCTGCCTCCTATAGGAGAAGGCCCAGTTGGGGGTGTCACCCCCATCATGCCTTCTTTAACTTGGAGAACTGTTCAAGTGAATTTCTTTCAGGACTCTAGAACCCACATGTCTTTACTCCATCATTTCTGGTGGCACCCTAACTTTCTTGGAGTATACCTTGAACTTCATCAATACCTCAGTTACTGCTCTTCCTAATTCTGTCTTGCCACCATCTTGGGAAGTAGCTTGGTCACCATTTCCTCATCTTTAAAATGAGGTTTTTAGATTAGACAGTCTCAGAAGTCTCTCCCAGGCCTAAATCAGTGATTATGGATTGGTTAATCAGTTAACAGACATTTTAGCACCAACTTTATGTCAGATTCTATGCAAAGCACTGGGGATTACCAAGAAAGGCAAAAGATAGCCCCTGATGATTGTTACAGAGGTCATTTATGTTTCTAACTAAGGTATATATACCTTAATAGCAGAACTAGACCATAGCGTCATTCATAGCACCCAGAACAATTTGGACCAGGTTCATGGAGTTTAACTCTAATCAAAGTAAATGATCCAGGGGAATCAAAGTATCCTAGGAATGAGAAGACTAGTAAATCAAAGCTCTACTGTATTTGTGGCACAAACTGATTCTATTCTGTGCAGCTCCATGATGCTATACCTATCAGATATTCACTCTTTTGGAGTCACCTCCTTCCTAGGTCTGCTGTCTTCACTGACCAGGACAGGGTATAATTGCTGGCTAAGGCAATTTATTTGGAGGATGTCATGAAAATAGCATTGGACAAGGAGATTAAAGGCCAAAGGCACTGGAATAATGTTGATGAAAAATGCAAGTAGAATAGGAAACTAGGGTAGATAGAGGTTAAGTAACTTGGCACGTAAGCTCACCTCTTCTGACTCTAAGTCCAGTGCTGTTGGCATTATGCCCTGCTAGATAATGTTTGTGCCTCTGTCAATGTCAAGGAACAATTATGCACGCACAAAATACAGCTTTGTTTCCATACTAGAGAAATTCAGTACTAGATGAGAGGTGCTACTCTACTTTGTTTATCTAATTCATAGATGACATGAAGTTCGGAAGGATAACTAGTGTCAAAATCGGGAACTGAACATATTCTTTCAGTACAGAGCCTTGGGTTTCACAGGGATGGACTGAATTTCATGGAATTTCTTAGGGATACATATAGTGCTCAACACTTAAATCTTCCCCCGAAATCAGTGCAGAAATACGGGATGGGGCAGATATGACTAGAGATATGAAACAGAATTAAAGGTTTCAGGAGACTGCAACCTTAATAAAGATACAGCAACCCAAAACATAAAGTAAATTCAGATTGCCTTAATAGAAGCATAATGAAACAAAGGAGGGAAGTGCTAGTGATGTCATGCTCTATCAAATGAGGATTGGCAGACTCTATGAAAGAAAGAATTAAGTGGATATAGTATCCACTGAAATATGCTTGTAAGGCTGTAATTGGGAAGAGAGAATACACTTGTTCTGCTTGGCGCTCTGGGGCCTAGGAACTATGGGGACATAGGACCTAGGAACAATGGGTAAGAGGTGGTCAAGAGGTCAGTTTTACCTCGATATAAGGAAATATTACTTAATCATTAAAGCTGTCCTGAAATAGAATTGAGAGCCTTGGGATGTAGGGAGTTCTCCAACACTGGAATTCTACAAGGAAAAGCTGAGTGACCAGTTGTTGGGTGCATAGAGGACAAACAAGGGGTTGGATGAAATGTTCTTTGAAATCCCTTCAAATTAAGATTATACAAAGCTTTGAATATATGGCAATCTTGTAACTAGTCTCAGCTGAGCCATTTAACAATTATCTGGTGTTTATTAAATTCTCTCAAAGTCAATTGTCATATTTTTTTAAATGAAGATTGTTGCCCAGAAAAAAAAAAAATAAGAAAACGATGAGAAAATACTCTACAAATTATAAAATGCTATACCAAAGTAAGATGTTATCATTCCACTGAAGGGCCAGTTGAAGAATCATGGGTTGCCTGTTATATAATAATCACTAAAATGTATATAATTCTTTTAAAGTTTCTTTTTAAGTTAATTATGTTTCCCTCATATCAGAGAGATATGTTATATTCCCTCTTTACAGATGAGAAATCAAAGATCAGAGAGATTGAGACTTCTTTGTGACAAAACAGCAAAGTAATCTTGGAGTAAAACATGTTATCACAGGCCTCTTAACTCCAAGCCCACTGCCATTTTCTTCCTTTCTAATTATACCCAGATCCCTCTAGATTAACTAGTAACAGATATAGGACAAAACTTCGGAGGACTTCAACTCACAAGAGTGTAGGACAAACATACGAGGAACGTTTTAGCCATATATCAGAAGTGACTAACTTATAATCACTAGTCAAAACTCAAAATCTATCCTATCACTCTAAAACCAAAATAAAACCATATCAGCATCCCTCTTCAACCATTCCAAGAGGAAGTTTTGCAAAATGTTGATGTGGGATTATCATTTGTGGGCAACATCTAAATACATCTGTTCTGTATAGCATAATGGCATTTTTGGTAACGATTTCTTAGAATCACAAATGATATAAAAATTCAGAGCAATTTCAACATGTGGAGGGGCTTTAATGCATCCTGGGTGATTGCCTATTATACTGAAATGCTTGGTTTGTACCGATGGCTTTGTTCCAGGGTCTTTGTTCATCAGAAGCTGAAAATGCTACATTATAGAGAAAGGGAGGAAATGGTACCCTGAGATAGAGAATAATTGTAAAAAGGAGAGAAATACCTCTGTGTTTGTCAAACAGAATTCTCTTCTTTTTAATTGTTTTGTTCTGTTTTGCACAACTGATGCTTCTGAGGTTCTATCAAAACTACATTGCTTGGGGCAGCAGATAGAAGCCACATGCAAAAAACGAAACTTTCAGTCCTTGATAAAATGCCTTCTCAGCTTTAGCAAATAAGAAATGTTCTTTTCAGGAACATATATGTGTGTGTATGTAAATATTTGTACATACATATTCACATAACATTCATACATATATCTTCTTAGATTTATGTATATGCACCTATGCATATGTACACATATAGACATATATATACATAATAATTATGCAGCATTTGTGTCTTAGTAATGTGAACATTAAAGAAAGAAGGAAAGAAGGAAGGAAGGAAGGAAGGAAGGAAGGAAGGAAGGAAGGAAGGAAGGAAGGAAGGAAGGAAGGAAGGAAGGAAGGAAGAAAGGAAAGAAGGAAGGAAGGAAGGAAGGAAGGAAGGAAGAAAGGAAGGAAGGAAGGAAGGAAGGAAGGAAGGAAGGAAGGAAGGAAGGAAGGAAGGAAGGAAGGAAGGAAGGAAGGAAGGAAGGAAGGAAGGAAGAATGGATTATCAAGTCATTACCCATATCCAATGGAGTTTTAATTATTGGTTTACAATAGGAAGCATATCTTAAGTATCTACTTTTGATTTTGATTTTGATCGTCAAAGTAACCCTACAAATGAGGTGCTATTATTATCCCCATTTTGTAGTTGATAAAATTCAGTCACATAGAGGTTAGTAACTTGCTCAGGGTCACATAGCTTGTATCTGAGGTTGGATTTGAACTTGGGTCTTCCTGATTCGGGGCAGTGTTCCATCCGCTATGAATGTTAAATCTGGTGTATTCAACACATTAAAAAAAATCATCCTTCATTCCCAATAATAGAAATACCAATAGAGCTGGAAGGGATCTCTAAAGTCATTGAGTCCAACCCTCAGAAACTTGGCACCAAAAGGTTACATGATTGCCAATGTCGCACACGCAGTAAGTATCAGAGCTGGGACTTGAAGCCAGTCTGTCTAGCTGTAAATGTGTTGTTCCTTCCAGTGCACCATGCTGCCTGAAGGAAAGCCGTCTCATTTCCACTGTGGTCTACAACTCCTAAATTTCAACAGTTTAGAAGTTGCGTTTTATCACAGCTAAAATCCAAAGAGTAGCTTCTGTTTCTTTAGCCGAAGTCCCTTGCCTTTTCTCCCAAGTCTACCCTTAAGATGCACAGCCATCCATCCATACACACCGATTCAGCACTTCTGAGACAGTTCAAGTTTAACTTCAGGCAGGGACCAGGAACCCCCATTAACTCAGTGAGTCCAGCCATATTGCTCCCGCAATGGCCAGATCACTTACATTTTGCTGCTGGCCTCTGCTCTGTGCCATGTTTTCTGACTTGACCATCATGCTGGAGGCATTGAGGCTGTACTTTTTAACACTCTGCATTTCTTTCAGCTGCCCCTGGATTTGTTTACTTTGTTTCCTGCAGGTAGAAACAAAAAAATAAATAAATAAAAATAATACACACACACACACACACACACACACACACACACACACACACACACACACATATGCGTATATGCATTTGTTTATATTCATTGATATTCAACATGCATACAATTTTGGCTCCTCAGAACAAACAATATTCTTATAACCTCTGACATTTACGATCTTCTAAAGATAAGCAATATTAAATTACCAAGGAGACATCATTCCTATCACACTAGGGAACCGCACACAATGAATCTAATTGATTTATACCCTCCTGTTATCTCTGAAAATATTGGGGAGTGGGGAGGTATGCCATTTTTAAATGGAGTTTATGTGGGTGAATGAAAGTTAAATGCTTTCAGCCTCCTGGCTTCTCTGACTTCCTCCAAGACTCATGCCCAAACCCACCTTCTATAAGAAGATTTCTTGTGTCTTCCCTCTAACGCTATGTCCCATTTAGACTGTATGTATCTTATGTGTACACAGTTGTTTGAATGTTGTCTTCTCTTTAAAATGTGAAGCCTTAAAGTCTTTGCTTTAGATTTTTGTAGTTGTTGTGGTTGTCATTGTTGTTTGGCCTTTGTATTCCCAATGCTTTGCACCATGCCTTGCATATAGTACCCTGTGTGTATTGCTGAAAAGTTTTATTTAGTATTATTTAGTGTAAGGAATCTGAAATAGAACAGCAACAAGAATCTGTAGGGAAGGATTCTATTTGTTGTCCTAGGGTGAGAAATTCTCCTGATGCACACTGGAGGGCCAGTTCTGTAAAGAAAAAAGGGTGGCATCTGCATTCTTTGCTTGTTGGGTATTTCACTGAACGCAATGGGGAGGTAGAACAAGTCTTTCTATGTTCCTCTACCTTTTGTTATGCTGACCTACCGGCTCTATTGCTCATGCCTAGAATACCTTCCCTCCTGGCTTCCCTGCTTCTTTTAAGTCCCAACAAAAATCCCACGTTCTATAGAAATCCTTTCATATTGTCCCTTAATTCTAGCGCCTCATTCTGCTGTTTTTTCCCCCTCTAATTTGTCAGATTTATAACTTGTTTGTGCGTAGTTGTTTACCTATTGTCTCCCAGATTAGATGGTGAGCTCCTTGGGGGCTGGGGCTGTTTTTGTTTGTTTACCTGGTTTTGTTTTGTTTGTTTACTTGTTTTGCCTTTCTTTTTATCCCTAGTGTGTAGGCATGACTGGCACACAGTAGATATTTATTAAATGTTTGACTGACTCTCACTGTTGGCCATCTTAATCCGTGTTTCTAGAGTACTCTGATATACCAGAAATGCAAGGATTATCTGCGCTGTATACCACCCCAGGATAATTGTAGAAGGTTTAAGGAATATAACTTCCCCTCTAATGTCACCTGCAGTGTGTTTCTGTAGAGGCTCTAGGCAGGTAGCAGCAGTCCTCAAGGGGAAAACACCTACTGTAAGAGGTTGTACCTGGGCTATGTCCTAAAGTAACCCAATCGGGAAGCTGCTCTCCCATCTCAGGTGCTTTCTGCTGTAGGAAGCCTTCCTGATTCTCCTCCCTTCCCCCTCAACCCCCGGTTAGTAGAACGTTATATCCCTCTTGAACTGAATATATATTTACCTGTATATGCTTTATATTCCCTTAACTGTTTATTACTTCTATCACCCCCCCCCTTAAAATGTAAGCTCCTTACAAGCAAGCAATGTTGCTTTTCTCTCTTTGTAACCCCAGTGCTTGACATAGGTCATGACACATTGTGAGTGTTTAAGAAATATCTGTTGTCTTATTGAACATGAATCATTTTTACCTGAAATATGAAAGTACAATTCATGTTTTCTCTGTGACTTATAGCAAAGAGACCTTTGGTTGCTATAGTAGTTTTATTTAGAGGGCACTGAGAATTATAGAATTCTTTGACTTTATCAAACAAGTTCAATAAAATGCTGAGAATAGGATGCAGTCAGGCTCATTCAAACATGCCTTTTATCTCCTCAGTTCTCTGAGAAGCTTTTATCCTTTTGCTGGCTTTAATCTAGTCCTAATAATCTAGCCACTTCCCAACAGCCAATCTGTAGCCTATTGTTAGAAACAAATCTACTATATTTCCATTAAAAAGTCCATTGCAAAATCAGTTATTGCTGCTACAATAGGATCAGTGATTCAGACAATCATTTTTGTGTTGGGAAACCATGGCCCAACACATTAGTTAGATGCACTAGCCTAACTAGCATTAGGCATTTGGGGCACCAATGCAATACCTACCCATTAGATTAAAACATTGCAGTTAAGTAGTTATCATGGTCACCATCTTGGTAGTCTTTATCATCATACAAAGCAGTCATCTTTAGGATCACACATGGGGAGCTACAAATGGCATTAGTAGATGTCTTGTCCAATCCCCTCATTTCATAAGTGAGGAAATTGTTCACTCACCCAAGACCAAATTCTGATCTTCTCTAACCCTTTCTCAGCTATCTTAGTATCTTCTCTTTCCGCTTCTGAGGATCTCCTATAGACTTCTTAATCCCCTCTCTTCTCCAACTCTAAAATTCACTCAACAATCAATTGATAGCATTTATTAAGCATCTAAAACGTGTCAGACACTAAACTCATGGGATCATAGATTCAGAATTGAATTGATAGATTTAGATTTGAATTGGCTGAGGAGACCCTCTGGTCTAACCCTAGAATTAACAGATGTGGAAATTGAGACCTAGGATGGTAAAAAAAAAAAAAAAAAGATTTGCCCAAGAACAAACAGGTAGAAAATGGCAAAACTCAAGATGGAATTTGGTTCTCATGACACCACGTCCAGAGCTCTTCCCACTATATCACATCAGATTTAGAATTTAAACCATGACAAAGAAGAATATAGTATATGAACCCCTCAACCATTCTGTCTGATTTCTATGTAATAATCACTTCTGTAGTGTCATAGGAGAGACAGGGGTATATTTGAGAGAAGTCGCAAAGGTAAAATCAACAGTCCTTGGCAATAAGGATTGGGTTGGGAAGGTATAAGGGACAGTGAGGAGTCCAGGATAATTCCTAGCTTCTGAAACTGAAGGTCTGGGAAGACAGTGCTGCTTACCACATCAACAAGGAATGTGGAGGGGGAAGGGTTAAGGTGAAAACTTGGATAGATTGAGTTCAAGATGTCTGCTGAATATTCAGTTAAAAATGGCTGAAAGGCAGTTGGAGATGTACCATTGGTGGTCATCAGAGAGTTTGGAGAGGATATGTAAGTCTGAGAATCACTAGCATGGAGAGAGTAATGAAATTCTTGAGAGCAGATGAGATTACCAAATGAAGTAGTACAGAAAGAGAAAAGAAGAAGGCCCAGGACCTAACTTTGAGGAATAACTATGGTTCAAGGCCGTGATCTGGAAGATGATCCAGCAAAGGAGACCATTTTTCACATTTAACTCCACATAAATATTTCAGTTTATTCTTTGAATTTGTGGTGAATAATGAATACAGGCATTGGTCCTGATTTCCCCAAATTTTGGTCTCAGGTAGGGACGGTTTTTTAATATACTCATATAATGGAAATGTAAATAAGACAAACCCATTGCTTTGCTTAGAGGAAAAGGTTTATAAACATCAAGCTCTTCATCCTCTCCAGGGCATGGGGATTTTAGGATTTTTTTAAAATAAATTTCAAATACATCATGGGTCAAGAAAAATGAAGTCATTTGAAACAAAAGACTGAGAATCCCTGGATTTCATGTCTCATTCCAACTATTATTCTCCTTAACACCCTAGCCTGCTTTTTGCTTTTATGCATACACAGGGAAACTTACAAGGAAAAAGCCCTAAAATGCAACATAAAAGCCTTCTGCAGGATGTAGGCCTTCTCTCATGACTGGCATAAAGGGAACAGCTCTCCTTTCCCCAAGGTCTTCCTTGGGTTACAGCTGGTCAATCAGAAAGGCAGGCAAAGTTCTGGGTCACCGCTCCCTCTTTGGCTTTGGTCCTTTGGAGCCTCTGTTAATGACACTGATATTTATAGATGTTTTCATGTTTATACACCAAGTCCAACCAGCCTGAGCCTGTGGAGGGTTATTGTTCATCTCAGTGCCCACTCATTGCCCAAGGAAGTGAGAGATTGACAGCTCTAAAAGACTGAAATCCCCTATTTATCCAGCTGTTCTCCATTTCTCCTGATTACCATAATCAGTTTTTAGTTTAAATGTGGTGCAACTACAAATTATACTCTAAAAATAAGTGATTAACTACTTCTTCAAAGTAATTTGCTTATTGTTAAATACACAATTTCTTCCCCATACACAGCACTTATGAAGAGACCCTTCTGCTGCTTGGTGGTAGTTGATATCCAATCCTACTGCCGCTGTGGTGAGCATTCTCCTCTCCAAACTGGGGGAGACAGAGGTGGAACATGGTCCCAATGAGACAGAGAGTGAACTGAGCTCACTGAGTTCTGCAGGCCCTCTTATGCAGATCTCAACTTTTTCCACGGCTGTCTCTAACACCTAGAATCAGCAGTTATGGATTAAGTTTTGTATTGTGAGTTTCAATTTTATTATAAAATATGTTTGTTATTACCCTTTAATACCATATACATATATGTACATAGTATTAATTGATACATAACTAACCCTGTCAGGTTTACAAGGTATTTTATATTCATTAATTCATTGGATGCTCATAATAGCCTCATGATTTGTCCCTTTAGTACTTATATACCAATGTGGGTACTCCCTCCAACAATGGAGGGTACCACCTGTTCATGCCATCTCATGCTTTCTGAGACTCTGACCATATCCTCTCCTAAATCATCCATAGGGCTAAGTATCTTAATATTATACATAGAACAATAAATCCCCTTGGGCTTCCCATCAGTTGTCTTTCATTCTTGATATGTGACTAAATCACCTTCCTTTCTTGTCACACTTCTCTCTGATGATGTCTTTCATCTCACCTCTCTAGGACAATTCTTCCTTAGCAATATGGTCCTGCTTACCTACTTCAACTCTGCCACTCTTCTTTGCCCTTTAGATGACCCTCAACTTCAATTCTTCACCAAAGGTGGTAGTTCATGACTTAGAGACATACAGCATTACTATAAGAATATTGTTTACAAAACGGCAGCCTTTTGTTTCAGGGTAAAGCTTGGAGCAAAACTCTGGTCAATATGCTAAAGAAAGCCAGCCTGCCCTCCTCTTTCTATTCCATTCTGGGACAAGCTCATTGTCCATTTATTGGTCTGTGTAAAATAAATGGATAGGCCAGATGCATGTTTTCTCCATTCAATGGCTTCTCACAGTCTGTATAATAGGAGTTTTTGGACCATTCAGTTTTTCCTGATGGGCAAATCATTTTGGGGTGGCTAGACCTAACTGAAGAAGTTTGGAATGGTACAAGACTTTTTGCCACTGTCCATAAACAAATGTATCTGGGGTATTTCCACATTTCATCTCACATCTCCATGTCTTTGCATGAGCTTCGTTTTCGCATCAACCTTATAATCTTTTCTGAGTGACACTGATATTTATTGATATGCTCATATTTATACACTAACTGCAACCCAGCCTGAGACTTTGAAGAGCTATTGTTCATCTCTGTGCCCACTCACTGCCCCAGGAAGTGATAGATTGAAAGCTCTGAGAGTCTCAAACCCTTTATTTATCCAGGTGTTCTCCACTCCTCCCTCCTTTCCTTCAGTTTAAATGCCTCCTTAAACTGCTAGTGCACTCCCCCTTAAATTCCTACATATATATTTGTACGTGTGCCTTTTTCATATACATTTATATTACATTTTTGTATATAATATGTGTGTGCCTTTTTTTCTCTTCCTAATAGGATATATGCTCTTAGCGGGCAGGGACTATTTTTTTTTCTCTTCTACCTCCAGTACTTGAAAAATGATGATTAACTGACTGATTGTTCAATAAGGATGTCTCTCCTCCATTTCAACTTTGCACTGGACATCTTACATGATAATGGCAAATATCTTTGGTGAACATAGGGTCTCTCTATTTTATACCCTAATTCATGTTAATAATCAGAGGGTTAATAATAAGGAAACTGAAGGTCAGAGAAGTTAAATGATTTGCTCAGATAAGTTTTGAAGGTTGAAATTAAAACCAAGTGTTCTTGAACTTGATGCCAATCAGTTCTTTATGTGTTACATTATTGCCTCTCACATGCATGTATGCATTATGTGCATGTACATGTATATACGTGTACATAAATATACATAATCTGTTTGTGGCTGTATATGTACATATACACATATGTATATGCACACACTCTATGGGACTGTCTGTATTTAAAACTTTGCCAGTTTGCGAACAACATGTTGAATGTTTAGATCCGTTCATAATCTCTACTACTCGGGTTTCTGAGAAGCATACTAAGTGGCAACTCGTTCAGTTTTCTCAAAATAGCTCAGGGTTGATTTTGCAACTCCTTTAAGCACCACAAATGGCTTTTAATTGACTCCAGTGCTTACTGTATTTATACTGTATATACTGCTTATACAGTACTTACAAGAATGGAGGATAGGGGCACTCAAATTTTCCAGCCTTAATAGAACTGTCTCAAAATGAGCCAGACTTTTCACTGTTTTAAGTGGATCCTAATATATTTTCTCTTTGAGCATGACTGACCACCTCAATCAAAGATGTGCTTATTTGGAAAGCGCCCACTTTTCCCTTCTCTAATTGCATGTAGACCTCAAAAAACAGATTTTCCGAGTTGTTCCCTATACTGACATGAATGTTAAATGATCTGCCTACTTTTATACATAATCTTTCTAGTAGGATTACCTGTTAATTTATTGAACATATTCTCTGCATCATGAAAAGTGAGGATATGGAAAACATTTTTTCCCTGTTAAAGTGAAATTTCATGCTCTCAATTGAATGGGATGGTGCCCTGTGTGTTTCAGCAGTAATCTCCTATTTTCACAAAGGTTATTTATATCTGATAGAGAAGATACTAAACATGCTTATATAGACTCTTAACAGATGAAAGTAACAGAGGAATGGTTCTTGATCACTGGAGCACAATGGCATCTGTCTTATTGCTGATAAGAAAAGATAGGCCTATAACCAACATTCCTAAATTCATTAGTCATTTTAAAGTTTTAGGCCAAGGCATTGAGATTTGATGAGAAAAGATTCTCCTGTCAAACCAGCTGGTCTAGTGCCTCCCAGGGGATGCTCCTGTTTTTAACATGAGCTGTGAAACAGAAATATATTAAGAGCCTACCCTGAGAAATGACTTTATAATACAAGACATAAAGTATCTTACTTGCTTTTGAAGTAAAATGCAGCACAGAGCATGCCCACAATGAGGATACCGAAGATGATACAGGAAATTGAAAGCACCTGCCTTTGGTAAACTTCTTCACTCTCTGTGGATAGAAAAAAAAACAAAAAAAAATGAGATTGGATTTTTTTTTTAAATTGAGGAATGAGGGAAGAAGCTGATAAACAAAGAAGAAGAATTCATTATTCTTTCATTTCTTCTCATGGATTTTTACAATCAATAACTTCTTTAAAGATGTTGTTCTGTCTTATTATGGTATGGATAACAAACATGGAAAAGAAGGAAAGGTCAAGAAATTAACAAGTTATTATCTTCCCCAGGTTTTCTCTACCACCAGCTCCTGAAATTGACTACCTTGTGATCTTGGACAAGACAATTCATCTATTCAGGTTTCAGTCAGCTTATCTGGAAAATAACGGGGTTAGACTAAATGAACTCTAAGGTCTCTTCCAGCCCTAAGTTCATCAGTCTCTGTCATAGTCTATAGACTCTATGAATTGGGTGTTTCTACATTTTATCATCTGGACTTCTGGTAAGCATTTAAATACCATAAAGTATTTGGCATAACATACATATCAACAGTGTGTCTAATAACCCATACTGACTGTTTAAAAATTAAAACAACAAACAATGACAAATTAAATTAAAACAAAAACCAACAAAACTTTCACTTAGTTTTTCTTATTTGCCAGATTTTCTACCTGCTGTACCCCAATGTTCCTGGGTGGCTTTCTGGGGGGCCAAATCCTCAGATCCCCCCTGAACCACCTGTCACTTGAATTTGTGTGAAATGTTAAGAATATTGAATACTGCTTGCTAATGCTCCTTCTGCTATTGTCATTGTGGCCTTCTCTTATACTTCTCTTGCCACATGTTTGCCTGTTGACAGTCTGAAGCCAATTCAGATCAGTCAGAGCGATGTGTCTATCAGAGATACTGTCTGTTCTTGCTGCCTAGGCCATTCAGGAATTCCCTCATATGTAATGGGAAGCTTCCAGTGGTTTCCCGAGCTGAGATTGCTACTTGTTATTCTCTGTTACCTAAAATGCCTGTTTAATTCTTTCATGAGAGAAAGAAGTGTCTTGTGTAATCAATCATGGCAGTGAGGTGTTGAAAGAGTGCTGGACCTAGGGTCAGGAAGTTGTTGCTTTTCAGTCATGTCTGACTCTTCATGACTTCATTTAGGGTTTTCTTGGCAAAATACTGGAGTAGTTATCTATTTCCTTCTCCAGTTCCTACAGATGACGAAACTGAGGCAAACAGGGTTAAATGACTTGCCCAAGGTCACATAGCTACTAAAAGTCTGAGGCCAGACTTGAACTCAAGAAAATGAGTCTTCCTGACTCCCGGCCTGGCACTCTATCCACTGTGCCACCTAGTTGCCCAGGGGTCAGGAATACCTGAGTTCAAATATTTCCTCAGACACTTATTAGATATGTGACCCTGGCCAAGTCACTGAAACTCTCTCTTCCCTGCTTACTTAGCTGTAAGATAGGTATAATACTAGCATTTGCTCCCCAGGATTGTTGTGAGGATCAAATAAGATGATATTTATACAGTTATTTGCAAACAATAAAGCACTACATAAATGTTATACATTATTCAAGGAAGCCAGGAACTATAGGACTAGAATATAGTATATAAGTAGCATAACATCTATGAACTTTTTAGAGATCCTTTAACCACCCCTTAGACAACATCTGCCTCTTTCTATCCTCAACTCAAAGGTGTTCCTCTTGAAGAGCTTCTTGACTCATTGTTTCCATAGCAATAGAATCCCTGCTACTAGGTGGTTTTCTCATCACAGAGATATTTGTCTCCAGTTGGAGAGGGAGCAAATAGAAATTGTATCATTAGAAAGGCCTCTGAGAAGCCACACAACATCTTAACATCTGATCTAACTAGACTAGTAATCTCTAGAAAAATCACTGAAACATGGCTAAAAAAAGTTTCAAGTTTGAGAAAGACTCAACTTTTAAAATGTATTGGAATATCAGATTTTTCAAAACATATTCCCTCCCATTTCTTTTATCTCCCATTTGCATATTCGTATTAGAATTTTCAAAACTTGTAAATAGTCAGGCCAAGGCTTAAAGATTCATTTAGGTCTGCTGCACATTTTTTTGTTAATTAATTCAGATACATTGAACATAACTTATTAGTGTGACAAAATATGGGAAATGATATAAAGCAAGAAGCTGGGGAAAATATTTAATTCATAATGAGGACGCTACATATTTAAGTGAATCAGCGTCTCCTTAATTTTAACTGATGTTTCCAGTCTAGTGGACAAGAAAAATCTATAATTTAAGTCTAAGGTAAAGGCAGAAGTCTAGAAATAATATGGTAATTTTCAAACTCAGATAATGATGAAGACCTCATTCTACTTTTGTAAGGAGCTCTAAATTTTTCAAAATGTATTACCAGGATCTCTTTCGGTCATCTTTATGAGGTTTCTATTGTCATTTGAAATTTGGGCATGTCCTCATGGAATTGATTGCTTCCTCCCCGGCTATTTGCTAGCATCGTGAACCATTTTTGGATGGTGTTTGTTTGAATAGTATGGCAAGCATAGGATGTTTTAGGCATGAATCTTTAAGATTGGAAGAGTGGGACTGTTCTCATACTAATGTTTTATGTGAGTGTGCATATAATGTAGAATTCTGCTCAATGTGGATGCTGATGTTTTAACAGAGATTCTGCAGTAGAGTTTAAGCTTAGAAAGACGTGATTAAATCAAAGAGGTAGAGAAATATAGTGTATAGAGAATTGGCCTTGGAATCAGGGGAGACCTGAATTCAAATCTTGTCTGAGACACTAAGTTGTATGAGCCTGAATAATTCCTATAAACTCACTGTGCCTCTGCTCCCTCACCAGCAAACATTTGGATAGTTCATACTATGTGTCAGGCACTGTGCTAAGTGCTTTATGAAGATTATCTAAAATGCAGTTCGACTCAATCACTTCTAAGGTGCCTTCCAGCTATCAATTTGTGATCAAACTGGAGAAATTTTGAGCTCCAATCTGATGGTTGTTCTCTAATTGTCCAATATAACTGTTTGAAAAGCTTCATCTCCAGATTGGTGCAAGGGTGGTGGCATTTTTGGCCATAGCAACTCTGAAAGATGACCTACTAAGTAAAAGAGTGATCACAACATGTGTCGGGGAGGAATTAACCAAAGAAACGACATTCAAAATGATGAAATGATGAGTTAAGTATGCAATCATAATAACAATTAGTATTTATATAATGTTTGCAAGTTTGCAATGGGCTTTGAATATATTACTTCATTTGATCCTCAACAGCCACCCTGTTGAATGAGTGCCACTATCATGACATTTCATAAGGTCTGCAAAGCTTTTTATATATGAGATACATACACACATATGTGTGTATCTGTGTATAAATATACATATACCATATGTCGTATCTTATGTATATATATTGTATATCTCCCTCCCACATGTATGTATACGCATGTACATGTCACATATATGTATGTGTAAATCTATACACATACATATATAAAGTGCCTGCTATTTGTATTATATTTTGTTACATTGTTTTACGTTTCTCTTTTTAAACAAATATTACATCATTTTGATGATTGGTGCTTTGAAATATTAATTTAAATTTAAATCATTTCAATTCAGCAAGCATTTATTTTCGATTCAGTCATTTTTCAGTTGTGTATGGCTCTCCATGACCCTATTTGGGGGGTTTCTTGGCAGAGATAATGGAGTGGTTTGCCATTTCCTCTCTAGTTCATTTTACAGATGAGGAAACTGAGGCAAACAGGTTTAAGTGACTTGCCCTGGGTCACACAGGTAGTAAGTGTCTGAGGTCAGATTTGAACTCAAGAACAGGCTCCTATAGGTAATTTGTTGCTTCTACTGATCTGTATTTTTTTTTTTTTTGCAACACTACTGGTGCATTTTCCTATATTTTGGCTTGCAGGATAGTGTTCAAACTTTTAAATTTATTTTTTTCCCATGAAAGACCTGTGATCATTAAAATGTAACTCCTGTCTCAGAACCTGGCCTTTCCACCCTCCATTAACTTGAACTCTTAGAATGACATTGTTTTCCAGCTAAGTTGCACCTTTCCAAGAAATAAGAATTCAACTCCTCCTACCCCATCCTTTCTCTAAGATAATATCATTGGATCCGCCTTCATGGGCTTCACTCATAAATATTTTCTCATTACCCCTTCAATGACTGTCAGATAAAGGGAGGCTTCTCAAAGATGCTTTATTCCTTCTTGTAGCACATAACCATTGATTTATCTATTTAGTTTACTACTGCTATATGGATTTGTTCATGGCTTATATCCCAAAGAACAGACTTGATCATACTACTGTGTTCTAGAAGCTCCAGTAATCTCTGGTTGCCTCTAGAATAAAACGCAAACTTTTGTTTGACATTTGAATCCCTTTATTATCTAGTTCCATTTACCTATATTTCAGACCTTTTGCTTCTCACATAATCTAAATTTCATCCAAATTGGCATTCCATTTCTTATGTCCAAGTCTGTGTACAGAGTGTCCCATTTTGGAATCCTGTCCTTACTGATCTCAGCTTTTTATAAGGGACTTCTATCTCTCTTCAGGGCTCAGCTCCAGTGCCAGCTTCTAAAGAGAGATTTTCTTGATTCACCAAGTTACTAGTGCTCACATTCTCAAGTTACTCTATATTTTACTCTGTACATATTTTATATTTACTTTTTCAGTCCACGTTATCCCTTCATCCATAGAACACACTGTTCTCAAAATTTTGTTTTCCTGTGATTTTGTCCTAATATTAGTTCTAAAATCTTTCATTGAACACTTCATTTTTCATTCTTTCTACCTTTCTTTCTTTGAGGGTCTATTGCAAGATTGTAATAAAAAATCTTCAACCTTCTATGTTAAGCCATTATTTCTCCTTTCCAAAATATTCTTTAAGGACTCTAATTTTGTTCCTTATTTCTTACTTAAATTATTTTTATTAAGCTTCTCAACTCCAGAGGGGCTTCTTTTAGTTGTTCTGTCTTAATTTATTTGGCTCTAGTTATAGTTATTACACCCTCATGTTCCCTTGCCTCCT